TTAGAGAAAGCTCAAGCACTTGCACAACAAATTTCAATGAATCCAGCAAGTCGACATAATGCCCAGCTAGAAAATGATGATGAAGAGCGTGATTTAGACGCTGCTACTAAATTTGATGCAAATGAAAAATCGCAAAGAGGAGGTGGAAAATTTAATGATGAACGTAAACAACGTCAAGTAATGGATAAAGTTTCACTTTCAGCGACTAAAATGATTGAGTATAAGAAAGATGATGGAAAATATGTAAGGAATAATATTTTTGGAAAAATAAATTTTGGGGAAAAGATTATTCAAAATAGAAATGGGACCATATAAAAAATTTTTTGAGAACCCTTTGCATAGGTTACATAGAATCATAAGAACCCCTTCGCGAAGTTTACATAGATACATATCAGAGCTGCACGAAAATGAAATTTTGGCTGTAGTGTAGTGTACCGGTGGTAAAAGTTCAGGATGTGACATATGTCATTCGATTCGTCTCGACGAGCTGAGTCGAATGGTACCACTCCCTATTTTAGGAAATGATTCTGGACCGAGTTATAGGTCCCGAAAAATTGAAAAACCAAGGGCTGAGTCGAATGACACCAAAATCAACGAAATCTGACTTGATTTGACAAAGTTATGCTCGTTTGTTTTAGCTCCTTACCTATGGCATCTGTGGAGATTTTTGATGCTACGGAGGCCCCAAATACGTCCAGAGCAATGGAGATAGGAATAGGTTTATGTTACAAGCCCAGACCCATCGCCCGTAGACTCCCCGCGAGGCGCGTGCCGCAAAACCCCGCGCGAAGCGCGGGGTTTTGCACAAGCGCCTCGCCGACGCCCCATAGGTTTAGGTTTTTTGTTTTTCTATTGTAACTTTGTCCAAACTTTTACAATCAAGCTGATTTTGATTTCATTCGACTCAGCTCGACGAGCTCTTTCGAATGAGCTATTATATGCTTTTTCGAATTTTTGACCCTAAAATCCTCCCTATGGTTTTTGACCATTTCGAGCCCTATATCTCGACTCCAACTTGTTCAATCAAGCTGATTTTGGTGTCATTCGACTCAGCTCGACGAGCTCTTTCGAATGAGCTATTATTTGCATATTCGAATTTTTCACTCCAAAATCGAGCTTACTCCCCCCTATGGTTTTTCAATTTTTCGGGACCTATAACTCGGCCCAGAATCATTTCCTAAAGTAGGGAGTGGTACCATTCGACTCAGCTCGTCAAGACGAATCGAATGACATATGTCACGTCCCGAACTTTTACCACCGGTACACTACACTATATCCGAAATTTTGCTCTCAACGAAACGAAAAACGAAAATAAATTTTTTGACGAAAAATGAAACGAAAGAAAAACGGAAATAAATTTTTATACGAAACGAAACAAAAATCATGAAAAAATTCACGAAAATTACGAAAATCGAAACAAAAATTTTCTAGCAGCTATGATACATATCAATAAATAACATTTCTGTATCGAAACTTTAGTTTAAAGGTCTACTAAATAACAAATTTTATTTATTTCAGGAGAAGAAACCGTTTACTTCCGAAAAGAAAATTCATTCTCAAAAAGTAATGACATCAGAATTAAATGACGTTAGAAAAGGTGGAAATAAAAAATTTGAGAAGGAAAAGAAGGTTGATGCTGTAGACGTTTCCCCTCCACCAGAACCTCTACCTCCACAAAATGTAAAAGCTCCGACACCTATACAAAGTCGCAAAAACAGTGCTGGTGGACGAGCTAGTGTTGATAGGGCAGTATCTGTTCAAAGCAGTGAACAGGGGGATAAAGGAGAAAGGTAGAGGGTTTTGAATTTTGATAGAAATTTTCTAGTTATTTTATTGAAGGAGTTAATCGAAAGAATATTTCATTTTTAACCAGGCTTCGATCTCGAATTTTTATAAATCCGCAATTTTGATCAAAAAAATTCGCATTTGATATGAAAAATCCGCAAAAAATTATCAAACGCAAAAATTGAATTAAAATCACTTTATGCGTTATATTTTTTGACTCTAACAATTGAATTGAGCAATTTTTTCACTCTAATGACTATCTTATTAAAATCCTAACAATTAAATGAAAAATTATGTTGACTTGAGCCAGGCCCGTAGCCAGGATTTTTTTTCGGGGAAGGGGCCAAGGGGGAAATTAAGCTGTGCCAAACTTTTGGCGGAGAAGGCGCCAAAAATTTTTTTCAGCGCCGAAGGCAAAAATTTTGGGAATTTTGGATGGCTGTAGACCAAAAAATTCACTTTTTAGCGCCGCATGCGAAAATTTTTTGAATTTTGGACCTCAAGAAACTAGATTTAATCCATTTTCAGCGCCGCAGGCGAAAATTTTGCGGATTTTGGAAGGCCATGAAGACAAAAAATGACATTTTATCCTAAAAACTACAAGAAAATACGAAAAATCCTCTTAATCTTCAAAAGACCACAAAAATCCGCAAATCCGCATTTTGAAAAATAATCCTCATCGCCCTATTAAAAAACCACAAAATGAGGAAAAATCCGCAGAAATCGAAGCCCTGTTTTTAACTCATCCTATAGTACAAAATTAATTATTAATTAAAATTATTTTTTCTAGAAAATTTAAATTGGACCTAAATGCCCCTTCATTTGTTCCTTCTTCAAAACCATCAACAAAAGTTGCTGAATCCACTACAATTATTAATTCAAATAATAACAATAATAATAATAATGTTTCTTCTGCTCCAACACCAATGATTTCTAATAATAGTTTAGTTGTTTATAATAATAATACTATTGGCACAACAACTTCAACAAATAATTTGGCAACTATAGCTACTAATTTTGGAAATAATTTTGTGACAAATCAAGTAGCAACTTTCGTTCCTGTTCCGGCTGCGTCTTTACAACAATTTCAATATGCTCAACTTCAACACGTTTTTTTTCATTTTAGACTTTTTAAAAATTTAAATTCTTTTTTTAGCAACCGCCAATAGCACAAGCACAGGTTCCTCTTACCCATCAACCAATGTTGACAAATCATAATCTTTCGCAAAGTCCTTCGGTTCAGCCACAACAGCAACATGTGCAACAGGGTAACATAAAATATAAACTCAAAAAAGATGGGGTTGAACATAATTTCAGATAGCAAGAGCCAGGGGGCTTCTGGGGCTATAACCCCCCCTCTTGAAATCGCCCTTGCCAGCTAGTATACATAGTTCTGAATAAATCCCAAATTGATTAAAATCATTTTCTGGATTTTAATTCCAAAATTCCTAACAATAAAATCAGTTTAAATTTTACAAAACTTATAAAAAATATTTTCGAATATTTTTAGTGACTATACCAGCAACTGTTCATCAACAGCAACACATATTTCAACAGCAGCAACAAGCGGCTGGATTTTATGCAACGGGTACTGATTCAGCTAATCTTTCCGGTTATGTTTTGAATTGGGGTGCTACTGCTGGAAATAATTTTATGGCGAACCAAGTAACAACTTTTGCTCCTGTTCCTGCTGCGTCTTTACAGCAATTTCAATATGCTCAACTTCCACACGTTTTTTTATTTCTTAGATTTTTTAATATTTTAAATTTTTAGCAACCGCCTATAGCACAAACACAGCCACCTCCTACCCACCACACAATGCCACCAAATCATACGCTTTCGCGAAGCCCTTCTGTTCAAGCACAACAGCAACATGTGCAACAAGGTAACCTATCTTCAATTTTTGGGTTTTTTTTATTTAACGAGTCTATTTTTAGTGACTATACCAGCAACTGTTCATCAACAACACTTATTTCAACAGCAGCAACAAGCAGCTGGATTTTATGCTTCAACGGGTACTGATGCAACTAATCTTTCCGGTTATGTTTTGAATTGGGGTGCTCCTGCTGGAAATAATTTTATGACGAATCAAGTGGCAACATTTGTTCCTATTCCTGCTGCAGCTTTACAACAATTTCAGTATGCTCAACTTCAACATGTGAGTTTATTTTGATTCACAATAATTTCGATTCACCCCATAATCCCCTGGTTACGGGCCTGCCCTCCATCATTTACAAAGTAACTGAGCCCTAATTCTTCTTATTTATAATTCCCACACCGTTTCTATTTCTTTAACATTTTTAGCAGCCTCCAATTCCACATTCACAGCCACCACTTCCACATCAACCCCCACCAACTCATACACTTTCACGAAGTTCTTCAGTTCAGCCGCAACAACATGCTCAACAAAGTAATTAAATTTATAATTCTTTTTTAAATTTATTTTTCTAGCTAATATGCAAGTGGCAACAGCACATCAACCACAACAACAACGCTACTTTCAAATTAAATACCCCAATTAAATTTAATATTAAGAGAACGATTAATATTCAGACATTTAATATTCATATGGGCGCGTTTGTCAGAAACTTTCCATTTTGTTTTGGATGGGAGAGGAAGGAAAATTAATTAGCCGATATATAAACTTTAAGGATCACAATATTTTTTACTGATTTGTAGATTCAATACTACTATAATTTTTCTTTCCTCCTGCATCCTGAGCGGCTGAACGTAATTCATCCGGTCCTCCATCTGCTATGCCTGACTTTAAAAATAAGATTATTGGAATAAAAAATATTGAATGTAAAAATTTCTCATTTTTTTAAAGCCAAACAAGTCAAATCACAAATAAAAATAAACACAAAAATTACAGCACATTTATTTAAACAAAAATTTTATTTATAATTGAGGCAAAAAGTCAATATTTAAAAATTTATGAGTGATTGGCTGCTTGGCTGGGAATTGGGATGAGAATTTATTTGATTATTATTCCTTTTTTGTGTTGTTGATTGTCTAGATAATAAATCTGTAAGCGGTGGCAATATTCCAGATGCGTTTTGAGAATTTGAATTATTTTGTTGTTTTGATGGTTCCTTTAAAAAAGACAAACCACAAAATTAATTAAAAAACAAAATAATTACTCTACTAATAGAAAAATTAAAAGAAAAAGCAAAAAATATTTTTAAGCAATTTCCTATTAGAATTTTTAAAAATCATTAACTCGCCGAACGTGAAGGGTTCGAATGCTAAAATTACAAAAATTAGATAATTTAAAAATAAAATTATATACCTGTGTGTATTGTTGATATTGAGGGTGGAAGTTGTGTATGGCTAAAAATTAAAAATAAATTATTTTTAACACAATTTTTTAAAAAGTAATATACTAGCAATTATTTAAAAATATTTACCATCTTGCATTATGTCACGTGGATTCATTGTTTCCTTCAACGAACTAGAAATACTTTGGAGAGTCATGGCTCGTGGTTCTTCACCAGAATTTACTTCAAAAATTAAAAATTAATAATTTCTTCAAATTTAAAAATAACTTGTATGTGCATCCATATAAGCTGATGCATCAAAAGCAAACCGTAAAGCAATTGAAGCAAAAAACATCTTTAAAAGATTTTCTACAAAAAAAAAATAAAATTCAAAAACCTCAACACAAATAAAAAAGTTTTGATATCCAGCTGCAACTGTTCCTCTACTAATTACTTCATTTCCTTCTGAATCATAAATTGGATCAATGGCTGAAGTAGCGCCAAGTACGGCAAGGAGGAACCCTAAAAATAAAAGAAAAAATGGGTTTAAATTCGAATCGAAAAAATTTCGGGAATTTCAGATTTGCGGATAATATTTAGAAAAATTTGAGAATTATTCAAGTTTCTGCAAAATTTTTAAGAATTAAGGAGAAAAATAATTAATTTACAAACCTTGCCAAAATGAAAGGAAGATGACAGACTTTACAGTCAAAAATTTTAAAACAGGATTGTATGGATGTAATAAATCTTTTGTGGCAGTGTAGAAAAGAAATAAACCATAAAGTGCCAGAGAAACAGAAATATTATAAACACTTGTGATGTAAATATAGCCTTGATCAATACTAAAAACTTTTAATTAAAAAGATAATAATTGTAATTATTTTGGGAATATATATTTATTAATGAGTACAATAATCGGTAATACATATTGAACCTGATAGGCCCCATTTTTTCTTCCCCAAGGTTTGTCCTATATATTTGCAGAATGGTCAGTCTTCCTTCTATTTTCCCTACTTCCATGCAAGGGGGAATAAAAATTAATTTCTTTTGATTGTTTGTAGGCAAAATATAGAAGGGGAATTGGAATGGAAGAAAAAGGTCTGACCATTCTGCAAATATATTCTATAAGAAAAAAACTCGGGAAGGAAGAAATGGGGTTTGTCAGGTTCAATCTTATTAAATGATTATTTTTTAGACTAATGTTCTGTCTAGACTAAATTTCGAAAATGTAAAAATTAAAAAAAAACCTCCAATTTCCATCCTCATATTTTCTAACCATCATCAACATTAAAGTAAGCACCACCATAATTGGTTTAATTAAACAAAATTGTAAAGTAGCCTTTTTACAAAACCGTAAAAATTCAATTGTATATTGTTTCCCCGCCAAACAACAAGTAAAAGTCCAAATATTTGTTGGTTTAATTGGTTTGCCGCGTATTTCGTTCATTATATTACTTTCGCCACCTAAATATTCGTAACAGAGACTGAGGAAACTGTAGATGACAAAGGCTAAAAATATGAATAAATTACATTTAATAAGACAATTCCTTTTAGCGGTTAAAAATGGAATAGAAAAAGGAAATCTTAAAATTCGAAAATTATATCTTTATTTTATTTACAAAAAAGATAAAGAAACATTTGAAAGAATATGAAACAAGGAATATTGAACCGGACAGACCCCTTTTTTCCTCCCCAATCTTTCCCCTATATTTTTGCAAAATCGTCAGATTTTTCCTTTCTTCTATCCAAACTTACTTTTGGAGTTTTTTAGGGAAAAATTGGGGAGGAAAAAAGGGTCCGATTCAATATTACTGAAAAACTGACTCAAATTAAGTTAAAATTTAATAACTAAAAAATTAAAAAAAAAACCTTCATAACAATCACGAATAGAATTGAAGTAGATATAAACATCATTTGAGAAAAATAAAAGAGACAGCCAAGAGTCAAATGCATAAATTGGGACAATAAAAAGACTAAAATAAATTTTAAAAAAATTATAAAAAATTAAAAAAAAAACATTCGAATAATCCATCTTTGTTCACTGGGACAAGAATACCATCTTAAATGCTGATAAATTTGGTAACTGGTAATTAAAAGTGCTGCCCAAGTACCTTTAAATTTAATTTTAAATTTTAATTAAAAATATCGTTTTTACAAAGGCCAGCAACGCTGTGAGCCAAAGACCCATTAAAAAAGACATTATTGTCGTGAAGTAAAGATGTATTTGTAATCATTTGTTGTCACAACATTTTTATTAAAAATATTAAAAATCAACTAGAAAATTAAGAACGTTATAAAAAGGGAATTTTTATTAAAAGAAAAAGTGCCGCAAAGGAATTTTAGTAGTAGCAATAACAGAAAATGTCGTTACTATAATTAATGGCAATGTTGAAATGCCGGAGGCTTAACAGCATTTTTCTATTAAGGCAAAAAAAGGGAAGAGAAAGTACACATTTTAAAGAGAAAAAGGCAGACAAGAACAGAGAAAATATTTATAAAGTAACTAGTTTACAGCGTTTAAGGAATATTGACAGAAAAATGAATAAAGTTTAACTCCGCTGGAAATAAAAAAAAGAGCTTAAAATGGCAATAAGGAAAAATGATTAAAAATGGTAAATGACAAAATGCCAAACGTATAAAATGCCACACATAAAGATAACCGAAAAAAGAGAAAAATTTAAGCGTCTCCGTTCAAAAATGGTAAAATTTGTTAGAATTACATTCAAAATTAATTACTTTGGTTAATTTTTAGTATTAATCAATTTCATCATAGTCTTATAAATTAATTAAACCAGGTGCACAAATAAAACCCTTTCAAGTTTTTTTTATTTTTTATTCCCGTGTCCGGACAAAATATCGAATCGTTAAAATATGGAATAGGCTAAAAAAGGGTTAAAATCTCGAATCGGGTAAAAATGGGTTAAAATCGCGAATAGGCTAAAAAGGGGTCAAAATGTGGAATCGTTAAAATATGGAATGGTTAAAATCGCGAATAGGCTAAAAAGGGGTTAAAATACCGAATCGTTAAAATATCGAATTGATAAAATGTCGACACGGCCAAAATGGATCAAAATGTCGAATTTTTTTTAAAAATGGCGCCAAAACCTAAAATCCGGGCGTTACCGTAATACCGACGGTATTTTTCGGTATTCCGTGTCGGTAGTACGGTACGGAATGCCGACCGATAAAATTTAAAAGCTGATCGGTATTTTTCGGTATTCCGTACCGTATACGGTAAGGTACAAAATTTAGGTCTTAACTAAAAACTAGTGACGCCACTCTAATTTTTCCGTATCAGGATCCTGCTGTGTTTTCCGGATCCGTACGATCATGCTGGACCGGATCCGGTCGATTATGCTTGATTTATACGGTCCGATTTTACTCACAGTGAACTCAGGCAGAAAAGATTACGCCGGACTATGACATACGAGACTTATCAATCAAATTATCAAAAATAAGTTGATAAAATTATCAACAATCAATGTATGGCACTCATCTGACCCTTTTTTAAAAGAATTCGACATTTTGACCCATTTTGGCCGTGTCGACATTTTAAACATTCCATATTTTAACGATTCCATATTTTAACCCTTTTTTACCCGATTCGATATTTTAACCATTCCATATTTTAACGATTCGGTATTTTAACCCCTTTTTAGCCTATTCGCGATTTTAACCATTCCATATTTTAACGATTCCATATTTTGTACCGGAGCCTTTATTCCAAACCGAGAAGGCCTTTCTCTGCGAATGACATTTTGCGTGGGCCGGTTAGACACGATTCCGTGCACACGATTCCGTGCCCACGTTTCCGTGCCCACGTTTCCGTGCCAGCTCAGTTCCGTGCCGGCACGTTTCCGTGCCAGCATGTTTCCGTGCCCACGATTCCGTGCCAGTTATAAAGGGCACGTTTCCGTGCCCAATATTTAAATATATGATATTTAGAGAGCGGGCTATCCAGCCTTGATTTTTCCTGGATCCAGAGACTAGATCAAGGCATTTTTCAGCGTTCCTTGATTTTTCTGACCTTGATTTTTCCTTGATTCAAGGTCAAGAATCTGGTCAAGATACCCAACCAAAATCAAGAATCAAGGCAATGTCAAGGCAAAATTTTTCCTTGATTTCCTTGATTAATTTTCCCCCCAATATTAAACAAAATGCCATTAAAATCTTGATCTAAATTTCTTGATATCCCCTTATATCCCTCATAATCCAACGCTATCTACTTGTTGATATCTTGATGTCACGCACAAGTCCTTTGATATTCACTGTATCCGTCCAAATTTTTTTTTTATTATTTATTAAATTAAAAAAAAGGTGGCACGGAAACGTGCCTATGATAACGTGCACGGAAACGTGGGCACGGAATCGTGGGCACGGAAACATGCTGGCACGGAAACGTGCCGGCACGGAACTGAGCTGGCACGGAAACGTGGGCACGGAAACGTGGGCACGGAATCGTGGGCACGGAAAGATACCCCACCGGCGTGGGCATTTTGTAAAATAATTTCAAAATGTCAACTCACTCAAAAAATTCAAAAATGTCAGTAACGGCCTACATTGTAAAATGGTCAACTTCTCTTAAATTCACATATGGGTCAATTCTTTGAATTTAGCGACGTTTGACGTTTTTTTTAATAAATTTCACAATTTTCTTATGTAGTTTGCTGTTGTTATTCTTATTTTTTTATTTTCAAGTGCGTAAATTAAATATTAATTAATTTATGTATTACTTATGTCAACCTCAACATTTTTAAATCAATGAACAAAATATTTTTGCTTCTTTTAGCATTTAACTAATTAGGAAATAAATTTGTGTATTTACAACAAAAATTAGGAATGAAAAGTTTATTTTTATTATTCTTCATTATTAGCATTTTGATTGAATTTCCAATTGTTAGGACAAGCTTTCAATCGAGGTTGGGTATTTTTTTTAATATTTTTTTAACAAATTTAAATAAAAAAATTCTTTTTAAGACGTCCATCACTTTATTTACCTTCTAAACAATGTGATAAACCATGTTTTAATGGTGGAACTTGTTCTGATGGTGCGTGCCATTGCCCGTCGGGGTGGAATGGACCACAATGTGAAAATTGTCATGGAAGGATTTTGTGAGGATTTAAAAAATTAATTTTTAAAAATATATGTATATTAACAAAATTTTTAATTTATTGTTCGATTATAAGTAGAATATTATAACTCATTTTAAAATTAATATAACACTTCTCTGATCAGTTAACTAATTTTTTAAAAATCGAATTAAATTATTTAGATCAAAATTTTAAAAAATAATAATTTTTAAATATCTTTAAAAAAATGTAAAATTATTTTTTCTATAGAAAAAAACTTTCTTCACATCACCGTAACGGCTCAATTAGTGATGGACCAAATAGTTATAGCGCTTCTGCTGGATGTATATGGGTATTTGAAAATTCCGACAAAAATCTAAATGGAAGCACTTCTTCATTATTATTTAAATTAGATGATTTCTTTACTGAATGTTGTTGGGATATGCTTTATATTTATGATGGTGATGGGGTTTATGGTGATTTGCTTGGAGTGTTTAGGTTTTTAATTTTGTTATAAATTTATTGGGAAATGAGATGAATTGATATATGGTCCCTTTCTTCTAACAATAAGGAAAATCTTACAAGGAACCATTTCGAACTGTGACCAAAAATTTTGTAATTATTTTTATAACATCGGGTATACCAGTGTCGATTTCCTATTGCCAATTTTTTGCTTTTTCAGCCCTACACCCCAAATCGAAAGTTATAGGGTTTCAAAATTCTCATTTTCAATCCGCATTCTGCTCTACACGATGGTATAAAAATAATTACTAAATTTTTGGTCACAGTTCGATATGTTCCTTGTTAATATTTTTTAATGACCTTTGTCCGCAAATTTCATTAACTTGCGGATTTCTTTTAAAAACTTAAATTTTATCAGATTTTATTAAAAAAAATTTTTTTATAAATTTTCAGTGGAAATTTGCAAGGCCGTGAAGTACTTGCTAAAAGTGGACAAGCTATAGTTTATTTTGCTAGTGATTTAGCTTTTAACCTGCCTGGTTTTAATATAAGTTATTATTTGAATGATGAAAGTGAAAAAGAAAATAATAATTGTTTATTGAATTGTAGCGGGAATGGGCGTTGTAATGAAAATGGGATTTGCATATGTAATGAAGGGTTTAGTGGGGAAGCTTGTGAACATCAACGTTGTTTGTCAAATATGGATGGACAGATTGGGCCTTGTAAAGTGAGTAGAGAAAATTTTTAGGGGATTTTTTGTGAATAATTAACTAATAATTATGGCAGCCATTGTTTTTTAGGTCGTGAACAATAATTTTTCTTGAACCTGCCTTTCTTAAGATTTAGAGATGGGAAGGTTCCAAATATTCAAACGCCATTGCCATACACATCAATTTAATTTTAGAAATTAATTTCGGGGTCTGATTTTAATTTACCGCTTAAATTGGGCTTTCTTTAAGAAAACCGTTTCTGATAAATTGGCCTGACACAATTCTAAGAAGCGTTTAATAAAAATTTAATTTAAAAAATTTTCTTCAGAACAAAGCATTCTGTAAACGAAGCAAATGTGAGTGCACAAAGCACACCCATGGTGATCATTGCCAAGAACTTTTATTAAATCCAACTTGGGATATTGTTGTGCCTACAACAACAAATATTTCAACAACAATTTTTTCTCCACGTGCTTCTCATAAATCTGTTTTGATTGGAGACGATTTGTGGATTTATGGAGGATTAACTTTAAATCCAACTGATTATTCTCTAGCTGATTTTATTATTTATAATGTTAAGAAGCGTTCTTTTCATTCAATTCCTCAAAAGGATGAAAATGGAAATAAAAAGCCTTTACAGAGATATGATCATTCTATTGTACATTATCAGGTTTGGAATTTTTTTTGGCAAATTTGATTCCTATTCGTTTCTTTTGTCCATGGGTACTTTCATCCTTTAATTAGCAGATGATCCTTGTAGGCCTTACATGACTTTTTCGACTTTCCATGGATCGAAAATTTATATAGGTATCTTAGCGATTCGAGGGTTTTCTTATTCAAGTCGTAAAAATTTTGATTTAGAAGCGATATAAAATTATTTTAAAAAGATATAATTTTTACTTTTTAGAATAAACTATACATATTTGGTGGAGTAATTAATCAACGAACAGTTACTAATGAATTTTGGGAATATAATCCAAAAAATGGAAAATGGACAGATTTGTCTTCTCATGATGATTCAGTTCAGGCTTTTCCTCTTCCTGTTGCTGGTCATACAGCTCATGTAGTTGGCACAGAAATGCATGTTTTATTTGGATATAACCCTTATGAAGGGTATTTGTATATTCCGCAAATTTATTCTTTTGGTTGGTATTAAAATTTAATTTTTTTGTTAGAATTGGGGGTGCCATTTTCGGGTCGCGTTGGCATTCGAGGCACTTTTTTACGTCCAATTCTATAATTCTCATTAAGAAACCAAAAAATGGCGTCGAGGCGAAATAGATTCTGCAATTTTGGGTCGTTTTGGACATTCTTCTGTTCTTTTTACTGATCCAAATATTGGAGAAATGATTCTCGTCTATGGTGGTTACAACGCTCCTTTAAGTAGTTATACATATGCAATAACAGATGAATTGATTCTTTATAATCCAACAAAACAAATTTGGTTTAAAATTAATTTTTCCTTTTATTTTTTACCATTTTTGATTTAATAGGACACATTTGGGCAATTATGGTGTCCCTCTTTTTCGACATTCTGCTGTACTTATGGATGATGGTGTAATGTTGTTAGTTGGAGGAAATAGCCATAATGAGTCTTCTACTACACGAAAAAATGATTGTTTTTCTGGACAAGTTCATGCTTTCGATACTGGTTGGAATTTTGAATTTTTTTTGAATTTAAAAAATTTTTCTAGTTTGTAAGCGCTGGCTTAAAATCTACACAAATGAATTTACACAAATCTCTCGTTATGGACATGACGCATTTTTGTATAATTCTAATATGTTTGTGATTGGTGGTTTCAATGGGGAAATGCATAATGATGTTATTAAGTTTACTCCAGGTTAGTTTTTAATTAAAATCTATTCTGTTAATTTTGTAATTTTTTGCAGCAAATTGTGACAGTCAAGCACGTGATGAGGAAGATTGTGAAAGGCTAGCAAATGGTGTTAGGTGTATTTTCTTCAATAAAACGTGCTCTAAAACACTTCCAACCACGTCTTTGCGCCATTCTTTTCTTCAATCAATTTTAAAAGGTGACTCAATGTTAAATAGTGTAAACGACGCTGTTCAACAACAAAAATATTGTCCAACTCATATGGATAAGTGAGACTGACACATTTATTTCTTTTTATAAAAATATTTTTAAAGAGATTCTTCAACTTTGGATTTAAGACAACAATGTTCACAGATAATAGATTGCTCCAGCTGTTTGTCAGAAAAAGGATGTGGTTGGTGTGAGAGTAGTCAGGTAATTATGAAGATTTTAATGGTCACCCTGTAATTAAAATTTAAATTAAAGTCATGCCTCGGTTCTTTCACAAATTGTGTTGATGGTGGACTTTTAACTGATCACGCTCTTTGCCCTCAAAGTATTAAGCAACGAAGGAAGGAGATTACAAAACAATTGCGCCCTTGTAATTTGGCTACTAATTGTTTTGCTTGTTATAGATTAAATCATTGTATTTGGTTTGCAATAGATGGAAAGCAGATTTGCGTGTCTTTGGCTGACCAAGGTGAATTTTTTTGAAGAACACGTGATTTTGAAATATCATTTTTCGTTTAGCTTTATTACTTGAAGAACAAACTCGAATTCAAATGGAAAAGGCAACAACTTCAAATACACAACAACAGCAACAACCATCTACTTCAATTACAACAATATCACAACCTTCATTACTTTCTTCACAATCTCTTAGCAGAACAGCAACTCAGGATGTTATAGTTATGCCACAACAACTAAAACATTCAACTTCTGCTCTAATAGAAGGACAAAATCAAAGAAATGGTACTTGCTCTGTTCCTTGCTTTTTGAAAAATAGTTGTCAGAGTTGTATTGAAGCACAATGCATGTAAGGAAATTTTATATATTTTACTCTGATATTATTTTTTCCTTCCAAAAATAGGTGGTGTCCAAGTAATCACCGCTGTGTTTCAATGGATACTTACATGATAAGCTTTCCTTATGGGCAATGTCAAAGTTGGATGACTGCAGCTAATACAAACTATGCATGTCAAAATAATCCTTTCGCGTGTAAACAACAAAAAACTTGTTCTGATTGTCAATCTATCGGGCCAAGATGTGGATGGTGTGATGATGGGTAAAGGAATTTTTATTTAGAAAATTTGATTTAAATTTTAGCTCTGGAACTGGACTTGGAACATGTATTGAAGGTTCAGCATCAGGTCCACGGTTCGGAGAAGGTTGCCCAAGTGAGAGATGGTTCTTTACTGGAGAGCCAGGTAATTTTTTGGAAGAATAATATTTTAAATAATTTTCCTTTAAGATTGCCAATGTAATGGGCATAGCACTTGTACTGAAAATTCAACTCATAAACGTTTCCGTTGTACTCGTTGTAAAGATAAAACTCGTGGTGAACACTGTGAACAATGCGAATCTGGGTATTATGGAGATCCTAGGAATGGGGGAGAGTGTAAAGGTTTTTAATTTAATTTACTTTTTTTTGATGTAGTAAAATATTAATTTTTTTAGAATGTCAATGTAATGGACAGGCAACACTTTGCAATCCGGTATATTTTTTAAAATTTCTTATGATAACAATTCAGTCATTTTAAAGACTAATGGAGATTGTTTTTGCTCTACAAAAGGAGTTCTTGGCCCTCGCTGTGATAAATGTGAACCTAAATATATTGGTGATCCAAAAAATGGTGGAACTTGTACATGTAAATAAAATTCCTAAATTTTTAATTTTTTACAAATTAAAATAGATGAACTTGCCATTGATTTTATTTTTACTTTTAAATTGGACAGTGATGATATACGTGATAAATATGTTAATCAAATTAATTTCTTCAGTGTGCCATTTAAGGTAATTTTATTTTCTAAATTTTGATGAAAATTAAAAAAAGAGGGTTGACAATTTTTGATTGAATAGGATAATTCCTCACAAGAAAAAGTTTTTTTTCTATGAAAATCCCCGGGTGCCTTAATTTACTTTCAAAACATTGTTTATTTCAACAAATTTATTTTCAAAAATTCTTTCTAAACAAATTTATCATTAAAACATTTTTTTATTTTAGAGAGATACAGATGTCCAATTTACAGTAACATGTGAAGGAGATTCTGGGGCAAAGGTTACAATTAATTTAACTTCACAATCATTAGAAGGAGGGAATCAACCTTTTCATGTAAAATATTTAATGGCCGGACAGTTATGTACAAGTACTGGAATTAAAAGAACTTATAGTTCTTCTGATCCAAGTATGTCTTTTTAAAAAATTAAAAAAATATTCAATTAATTCAATTCAATTGATTCAATCAATATCAAAATATTCAATAAAAAAATATTCAAGTAATTGTACAAATTAAAATTAATTTTCTAGTAAAAATAGGGTTATTAAAATTTTCTATGTTAACAGAAGATTTAAGTTATTAAAAAATTAAATTTTTTAAAAGATTTTTCATATGGAACTGATGCCAACACAACATTTAATGTTAGAATTAGTGATTTTGTTACTCCTATAAAGGTAAGAAAAATTTTAGTAGATTTTAAAAATTTGTTTCAATTTTTTAAAGATTCAAATTTCATTTGCTCAATCATTACCTATTAATTGGATTCTTTTCTTTGTTATTTTTGCTGCGTAAGTTTAAAAAAATATTTTTTTAATTTTATTTATTTAAAAGTTGTTTTATTGTTCTTCTTGTTGTTGCCGGTTTAATTTGGATAATAAAAATGAGAATAGAATGGTACAGAAATATTAGAAGAAGACATGATGAAATTGAAGAAATGGCTTCACGTCCGTTTGCTTCTATTCAATTAGATTTGGGTGGAGATTCTATGAAATCGGTATTTGAAAGAAATTTGGATTTTTGATTCCTTTAATATGCAGTTTAGTTAAGATCTGAAAATTAGGATTTATTTTAGAAAGAATAAGTTAATCAAGCAATTTTTAAAAATGATTTGGATCTAATTTCTAAAAAAAATTTTTAAGCATGTGGATCCGTGCGCGGTGGAGCCTTGTTCAAATTATCAAGCGGGTGTTTATACAGTTATTGTTAAATTGCCAACTGGAGGTGAGAGATAGGGGAGGGGGTTATTTTTAAAAATTAATTTTATTTAAAGGCCAAACATATACACCTTTTGGAACCTCTGGATTAGCAGTAGCGTCAGCATTGTGTCAACTAACCTCAGCACAACTTGCACTTCTTCAACCACCAAATACTGAAAAAAGGCCAAAAAGAAAATCAAATCTTAAACGTTTTATGCCTTTCATGTCGTGATATTTTTTTGTTATAATTTTTTTAAATTTTTTTGTGGCCATTACTCTGCATAATTTTTTGTGTGAATTTTGTATTTTTGTTTGCATTTTTATTCTATTCAAATATGTGTACTGTGTATATTATTTAATTTTTATTTGTAAATTTTGAAAATTGAAAAATTAAAATGGTTTCTTACTTTTCTAGATATTATTTTGATATTAATGTAAAAATGGGATTTTAAAATGACTTTGTTATAATTGGACCCCGAACTGAGTCCAGGTTTTATTGTCACGTGATGTCAAAAGTATTCCCTCCCCCTACACCCGCAAATTCCAGGAAGCTCCCAGTTTTCTTTGGGAATTATGAGTTTTCGTGCGATAAAGCATACGCAGAATTAACACTAAAACTTCGAGGTGGACTGTAGTTGGTCGTATTATGGCTATAAAAGCAAATTTTCTCTTTCGAGAAAATACCCCTTCCGTCAGTAATATAACTACACTTCAAAACATCCGTCGTATTATTGCCCAAGCCTCGTGTTACTCTTGTTCTCATCAGTCACACAATGTTACTTCGCTACCAATGCAACAAGGACAGAACCAGCTCGTTCAGTGAAGTGATGGCTACTGCTCTGATGTTGGTGATGTTGCTTCAGTTGGGTCAGTTTTTCTTTCAATTTCATTTTACGTTTCTAATTTAAAAAATTCAGCAATCTGTTTGTGTGCAGCTTCTGAAGAGGTCGAGACTACTATGGATGGTTATAACCCGAAATTGAATGACACTACTACTGTGCCGGACAGAGTGAGTACAAATGGGGTTTTTTATTCTTAGGCGGTCCAATCTTAATCGTTTAGAAACTGGAAATGGGCCTTTCGAATAGTTCTGCAAACATTTGTACTTTTCCTTAATTTTCAGGTCAAGCGAAACCCGCCGCCAGCACCCAGTAATAACGACAACTCGAAATGCGTCAAGGATCCTGCACAAATTCATGGTAAAACTTTCGTTAGAGAAAAAATCTAAATTTTTTAAATTCAGAAAGTACGCGTGGAATTGTGGCTTTAGGCTCGATCATTGCCTTTATTCTCTGCCTGGGTCTGATGCTCGCGGTTGCGTGTGGATGTATATGCACGGAAACAAAAATGATTGATGTGGAGTGAAGAACAAATAGAGGAGAGAATATAAATAAAGATGATTGGAAGTCATAAATGTGAGTGCATATATAATAAAATAGTAATATGTATATTGTGTATTGTATAATTGTATATAATTGTTTGCCCCTAAACCTGGAAAAATTTTTTGTATTGTATGTATTGTTCCCGTTTTTCATAAAAAAACATTTGGAAAACCTTAGTTGATCAGAAAATGATTAATAGTGAGGAAGTGTCTTTGTCAATTTTCAGCACTGAAATGGTTGGAACACGCCCGAATAATCGCGCGGCCATAAGGTCGCCAATTCACAACTTGCTTTAAGATTTCCGAATCTTTCCAAATTTAGTATTAAACGATTCCTCTCATCGAACTAAAGAGGTTGGTACCAAAATTGATAAGGGCCAGAAATTTTTTAGCAAGTTATGGGCCTGGTGACCTTATGGCCGCGCGACTATTCGGGCTGTACATGATTGTCTAATTTAAATTTCCGCGTTTAATTTCACAACGCCAGAAATGAGGCGCCATAGATTTTTTGGCCGTTTGCCATGCAGACAATTCTTTTGTAAAAGCGCATTTGCTGTCTACAGCGATGCGTAGCTTTTCTGCTCGATTTTCATTGCCTTCCTGCTGATGTAAAGGCAAAATAGTATGTGGTCTGTGTTGGACTTTTTTCCTTCCACCTTTTTGCTCGCATTTTTGCAAATTTCTTTGTTACGTATTTTCATGCGCGCACTATAAACCATATAAAGGTCGAAATAATTTTTTGAATGTTTATTGGAATTTATTTTTGTTGATTTTTGATCGCTTAAATTCGTCTTTAGGGAAAGATAACTGTTTTCTTAAATATTTTGTTTATTTTCCTCTTATTTACCATTTTTGCAATTTATGAACTTTCTTCCCATTTCTTGTTTACTAAATTTTCTTAAAAAGCTTTTTAATATTTCAAAGATTGTTTTCTTTTGTTTACTAGATTTTTGTAAACTTTCCAAGTGTTAAATCTTTGACAGAAAAATTAACTTTACGAAGAAAACCCCCTATATCAAAACCCCCTCCCCTCTTCAGTAAATTGCCTAAATTGTCTTAATTTTATTTTGGACATTTTAAATTAAATTTTGGTTTTTTTTTCTTGTTAAAAACGTGATGAATCACATTTTTTAACAAAATTTTTTAAAACAAACATTCCTTTTATGACTCATCATAGCCTTTTGCAATGCTTTTATTGCACAGTTTATGGAACCGAGGATTTTTTGGGTTTAGTTCCTGATAAAGTTAAAAAATAAATCAATTAATAAAACATGTCAAAAAATTTATTTGAAATTTTTAAGGATTAAAAACATTTTCTTTTTCCCAATTAAAAAGGCAATGATTTAAAGGTCAGTAACTTTAATACACTTGAGAAAGAAGAGGAAAATATTTAAGGATTAAATATGTTGTGTGGTCTGTGATTCTATTTTTCTAATTTTTCCTCAGCCTTTTCCCCATTATTTCCTATATTTTTAATTAACGTTTTTGTAATCGTTCATATATTTTTTTGTCTTGAAAAATTTATTTAATGTTTTTTGTTATTTTTCAGGGTACCGTTAATAGTTGAAGGTCTGTGGAGTAATATACCACAAGGGTCGTAGAGAACACTTCATTGTGCCGTCTGAGGGAGCCTTCTAAATTTATTCTGCACGCATATTTTTGTATTAATTTTTTGCCGTTTGTGCCTAAAGAAAAGGTTTAAATTTAAATTTTTATATTTTTTTAAATTTTTACTTTAGGGAAGAATGTCGTTTATTGATGATTTTATTTATCGTAGAGGCATCCTCCTGAATAGTTTTGTTGATCCAAAAGAGGAGGAGCTTGACACGGATGATCTTGAGGTTTTGTATTTAAAGATAATTTTTGGGTTGGCATGGGTTGGTTCTGTCAGTTGTAGGGAAGATTTTTTAGTACGGGCAATTTCTAATACTCTTTTACTTTTAACTTTTCTAACACCGAATTAGAAACTGAAATTATTTTTTAGATTTAAATGGACCCCTTTTTTAAGGTTGCACTGATTAACGAGTCTTTCGAGGAACAAATGAAACAACGTGAGCTCTTCAGTAATAGCGACCTCAAGTCTTTGTTCTACAATGGTAAGCAGACTACAACGGCAGCATTTTTAAATAATGAGCAAACGCACTCACAGAAGCACAAGGATTCAACGGATTCTTCTTTACTGATAAAAATATTACCGACTAGTTCTCCAATTCGCTGGCCTCATATTACGCCCCATTCAGGTTTTTTTCTACCCTAGTTTTAACTCTTCATAAATTAGTTTAAAAATTACTCCAAAATTAGATCCAAGCTTTAATTATGTATTTCTCTACTTTTATTTTTAGATTTTGATGACTCGGAACGCGGCCGCCAACTAGACATGGAATTGGGACGAATGATGCTTGAAGGGGAGGATGAAGAAGAATCAACATTTATGAGTTCTTTTGACGACAGCGGCTGCAAATCAACTTCTTTGACAAAATATTTGGATAAAAGTGCGGATGGAACAAGCGACGATAAGACAGAAGAAGCCGAAACTTATATGGACAGTAAAGAAGATATTTCTAAAAAATTACCTTCATCTTTGAATTCTGCTTCGATACTTGAACAAATGGCTGCTTTTACAACGCCGGCAACAAACACACAAAATTACAATATTTCGTCGCTAACTTTTTTGCCATATCATCATATGGCCGGAGGTTTCTTTTCTTCCTCTTCATTTGAATCCGCGACGTCTCAACAGGAAGATGAAGTTATGGCGGCTGCTTGTGCTGATGCTGCGGAAGCTGTTTGTTTTTATTTTTTAAGATACATAATGGTTGGGATAAATGTGGGTTGGAAACGGAGAAAACTAAAATGTACAAAGCATGGAATAGTAGTAAAGTTAAAATGTAGGCCCCAATACCCAAGACCTCAACTTTTTAGATCCCAAGACCCAGGATCTCAACTTTCTTTTTCTCCTTATGCCTACCATCATTCGTTTTCTCTTTTACATATTTCACGGTCTTCAAGACCGAGAAAACCTCAAGAAATGTCATGGAATCAAGACCAAGAGTCAGAGATTTTATTTGTTTTAAATTAATATTTCCAAAAATATTCTCTAATTTAAGATTGCAAATGATGTAGTCCAATCTTTGTTTGCCGATGAGCAATATACTCAATCTGAGTTGGGTTTAACTGACGATGAGGCTGAAGATGAAGAAGAAGAAAAATATAAGAATAATAATTTGGCAATGACTTCAACTGCTATTTCTCTTCATTCAACCTCTCCAAATAGTAATTCTTTTTCGTCATGCTCTTCTTTTTGTGAAATCAACAAAACTAACGAAAATGACTTAAAATTTTGAAAGTAAAAAATTCTCTGAACGAGAAAAAAAGGTAAAAACAATAAAAGGTAAAAAATATATAAGCAACCCATAATTGAATATTCATTCATTAAATATATATTTGTTTTCTGATTTGAGAGAAAATATAACTTTTCTGAATATATTAATTTTTAATTTTTTGTGAAGTTTATGTGTGTTAGAGAAAGGCCCATTTCCTTGTTTCAGTTTTTTAGTTGGAATATCAATCCTAGGTTAATAAACCTTGTATTTTTGATGGAGAATCCACTATTAAAATTTTTCTCAAAATAAGTGAAGATTTAAAAAAATTAAATTTCAAGAATTTTTAAGAAAAAAAACAAAAGTTCTCTCAACACACATAAACTTCACTCATTCTTGCTTATATTTTCCTTTCTTTTTTATTATTCGGCACCACCAATACCTACATATAAATATTTTTTTAAAAGCACAGCACAAAACACAAGTATTCGCTTCGTTCGAATATTTTTCAGTTTCTTGTGTTTTCCTCTCTCTTTTTCTTTCTCTATTCAAATTTACTTGCTGGACACAATCACCAATCTGCTACTTTTTGGGGAGTTTTTTTAAACTCCCGAATTTTGTGTGTCTCGGCCTTTTTTTTAAATATATAACCAACTTTTTAAAACTAGTTTTTTTTGTAACTACTTGCACTATGATTTTTTTATTGCTGCGCAATTAATTTAAAAAAATTTTCATGCTAATGAGCATGATCTTAAAAAACGACCACAACAAACATTTGCGCATTAACTTTCTTTGAAATTATAGAAAAATATTCTTTGGCAACTGTCTATTGTTATAATTGGAGTCTTTTTTGAAATTGAAAATTTTTTTGGATCATAGGATGGTGAATCTGATATTTTTTGGATCTAAATAATTTTATTCAAAGAAAAGATTTTTAAAAATTCTAATCAGATTTACATGTTTTGACTTGAATATTTGATTTTAAGAATAATTTTTTGAAAAGATCTCAATTATTGACAATTTTATTAAGGATTTGAGAGAATTCTTTGTATTCTTCAGCTATTCTTTTAAGGCGAAAAAATTTTTTGGTGCATCGTATTTATAACTACAAAAACATTAATTTTTAAAAACAATTTTATACGATGCACTTCAGTTAAAAAATTAAATTTTAAATTTGGGGTTTTTTGTTCAAGTTATTTGTATTATAAAAAGCACATCCAGAAAAAAAATTTTCAAGAATCGGAGGAGAAAAATTTTTATTTAGGGCTTGAGAGACAAAAACTTTTTGAGGGAATTTTCTGGATGTGCCTAAAAATCTGATTGACAATTTATTTTTTTAAATTTTTGTGTCGGTCATTGAAGCTATTTTTAAATTTACTGATAAAATGTAAAAAATAATCTTTGAAATTGATCAAAATTTAAAATCAAAAATTAACTTCAATGACCTTTACACTTTATGCGCGAACATATATTACATTCTTAACGCGTCATACTTCGTTTGCGAAAATTATTCAGAAAAATTCAAAAAAACGAATACAAACATTTTGTTTTTTTTTCCATTATTTTATTGTTTCCACATTTTTTTCTGTGGTGAATAAATTTTTTTGGAGAATTTGGATTTTATTTGTTTTGTGACTAAACAATATGAGAATATTTTTAATTTTAAATTAACTTTAAGTTTTATTTTGGTGGAAAACTAAATACTACAGGTCGTTAAAATCGCAATCCTGAAAAATCCTGCGCAGGATCCTGTCCTGCCCCGACCTCTACTAAATACCCCCAACAAGGAATTGTTTTTTCTTGAGCATTTCTTACAGTATTTTTGGGTATGTACTATAGTAGGTCCCTCGTATAACAGGTTTAGTTTGATCAATCCTTGTACATAGATCAACGTTTTTCGTTCTTCAATCATAATTTTCACAAAAATCTTTAGAATATATTTCAAAAGAATTATTTACTTTCACAGATCAATAGATGAAACATTAAAATTTGTCCTTACAAACGAAAACTTTTCTTTTCTTCTGATCAACATTTGTCGCTCTCATTTTACTCTCCATTAAGCATTTCTCATGTGTTCTCAAACATAACTTTAGCTTTAAGATTATATAGGAGAATATGCGTCATTTGTTCTACTTATATTTCATATTTTTTTGTTTGAAAATTAACACAAAGTCACTTTATCTTTTTTTTTTATTTAATTTTTAGTCTTTCATATTTTAATTTTAATCGATTTTTAAATTTCTTAAATACTGAAATACATAATTTTACATATGTCATTTATTCAAGTTCATTCGTGGGTTCGGATTTTTCTATTAGGTCTTTTAAAACGTTTTTTTCTTATTTTTTTGTAATTTCTACAAAATTTATTTTTAATTTTTCAAGTCTTGCATTTTCTTATAAAGTGCCTAAAAACCCCATAATCTGCCTTTTTGGCTTTATATTTTCTATATTTTTCCCATATTCTTATTTAAACAACATATTTTTGACTTATAATTTAATATGACATCGGAAAGTGAAGAATATAAACACGGTTAGGTTTATTTGAAAAAAATTTTTTTTGAATAAATTTTATTCAGAATTTACATTGCCTTCGCTGCCACGTACTACTAGAGGTTTGCCATTACCTTTGTCAGCGAGTCCAGATGGAAACAAATTTGTATATTGTGCTGGCAATAGTGTATTTATACGAGATGCTAATGTAAGGGAATTTTTTTCTTTTAAAAATTAGTTTTTAGCAAATTTTTGATTGTGATGTCTACACAGAACACTCAACACTTACACAAGTTGCAAAATATGCCCCGTCTGGATTTTACATTGCTAGCGGCGACAAACACGGAAAAATAAGAATTTGGGATACTACACAATCGGTTTGGGAGTTTAACTGATTTTTTAAAACTTTTCTTTTTTTAGACACATATTTTGAAAGCAGAATACGCGTTAATCAACGGTCCCATTCGGGATATTGCTTGGTCAGAAGATAGTAAAAGAATGGCTGTTGTTGGGGAAGGGAAGGAAAGGTTTTTAAATATTTTTAAATACAAATTTTTTTTCAAGATTTGGACACGTTTTTCTTTTCGATACCGGTACAAGCAACGGAAATTTATCTGGGCAAAGTAAAGCTATGACTGTTAGTTTTTTTCAGATTTTTTTTAAATTAAAAAATTTTAGAGTATTGATTTCCGTTGGACTCGTCCCTATCGTCTAGTAAGCAGTTCAGAAGACAATTCAGTTGCTATATTTGAAGGACCCCCTTTTAAATTTAAAACGGTTATTTTTAAATAATATTTTTTTAAATTAAAATTTTTTTAAGCTCTTCCATGAACATACACGTTTTGCTCAATGTATTCGTTATAATAAAGATGGGTCAATTTTTGCAAGTGCTGGGGCTGATGGAAGGGTTTTTATTTTTTGAAAATTTTATTTTTTAATATGAGCCCAAAACATGAATTAATTTTTAAGTTCACTTTTAGTCAAACCAAAAATTTCAATAAAATATTTTTTAAGGTAATTCTCTTCGAAGGCACAGAAGGAACCAAGATTGGAGAACTTGTTGACAGCAGCGATACTGCCTGTAAAGAAGCTGCTCATTCTGGAGGTGTTTTTGCTTTATGCTGGAATTCTGATGGAAAACGGCTAGTTACTGCCTCTGGTGATAAAACATTAAAAATTTGGAATGTTGCTGATAAAAAGATTATTGGGTTAGTTTTTTAATGTTTTGTTAGTGGCCTTTTAAATGGCCTTACAAATAAAAAATTGGTTTTTTTCTACAAAATTTGTTTTTCAGAACAATCCGTTTTGGCACAACAGTCGACGATCAACAATTAGGTGTTGTTTGGTTACGTGACAGAATCGTTTCTTGTTCTCTTTCTGGATTTCTTAATTATGTTGACCCCGAAACTTTAACAATTACAAAAATATTAAAAGGACATAATAAATCAATTACGGCAATGGCTTTGGCTAGTGATGGAGAAAATGTATTTACTGCTGATTTTGAAGGAAATATTAGTAAGTAGTTTTTTGAGAGGGAAAAAATATAAATATTTATTTTGTTCAGCCCGTTGGAAGTTGTCTGATGGCTCTTCCGAACGTTTAACGCCCACAATTCATAAATCTCAAATTTCTTCTTTAAAATTATTAAATGATGGAACGCTCATTTCTACGGGTTAATATCATTTTTTTAAATTTTATTTTAAAATTTATTTCAAGGTTGGGATGACACAATTGCCTTTACAGAAAAAGCTTTAAATATAATTGGTAAATTAAATTTCTAAAATTCAAAAAAAAATTTTTAAATCTCAGATAATGCCCAACCAATTTCACACAAATTAACTTCCCAACCTAGGGGTGTTGATTCAACAAAAGATGGCAAAACTGTCGCTGTCGCAACACAACGTGCAATATTAATATTTACAGATAAAAGGCTATTGAAAACAAATGAAATTAAATATGAAGGAATGTGTATTGCAATATCTCCTGAAGGAAATCTTTTGGCGGTGGGAGGAAATGTAAGGAGTTGAGAGGAGGAGGGTTTGACTAAATTTTAAAAATTATTTTTTAAGGATGCCAATGTTCATGTTTATGCTCTTTCCACTTCTGACAGTTCTTTAACCGAAAAACAAAAATTATCTCATGGCGGTGCTTTAACTTCTGTAAATTTCAGTCCAGATGGAAAATACCTTGTAGCAACAGATATTGCTAAAAAAGTAAAAAAAATAATTTTCTTTATTAAATTGTAAATTTTAGGTAGTCCCGTATAATGTAAATAATGGATTTAAAGTTGCTTCAGAAAAATCTTGGTCCTTCCACACAGCGCGTATCAATTGTTCTGCTTGGTCGAGTAATAGGTTATTAAATCTTTTTCCTCATTACAAATATTTTTTCCATTAATTTCTAGTCGTTATATAGTCACCGGTTCTCTCGACACAAATATAATGGTTTGGGATTTGGAACAAAGTGGAGAACATCCTTTACTTATTCGAGGTGCTCATCAAATGAGTGCAATAAATTGTGTTGCTTTTTTGTCTGATGGAAAAAGAATATTAAGTGTTGGACAAGATGCCAATATTCGTGTTTGGAATGTTAAATTACCTATAAAACCTTCTTAAAAGAAATTCTCTTTAAAAATAAATACTTATCTTTTAAATGACTAATTAAAAAATTTCTTTAAAAATTTTCCTGTAACCCATATTTGTACGTGAATCTTGTAATGATTATATAAATATTTACTAATTAATATATCTCAAGAAAAAATATGCATTTTACTGTGTTTTTTGTGTATTTGTATGTAAACGTAGTTTATACGTATTTATTTTATTAAAAAGGGAACTGAGTAATTTTGAAAAACTTTGATTATGGTATTTATAAAATTATAGAATGAGATTTGGAACTTTGATGGTATTGCGTATTGGTCCGGTCACCGCTTTTTTTAATTTTAAGAGAAGCATTTAGGGCAAGACGTATTAAATACACCCAGATGGATTCTTGCCCTAAAAGCTTCTTTAAAATAAAAAAAAGCGGTGACCGAGCCACGCAAAAGCCATCAATTTTCCAAATCAAAAAAATCATGTCATATGACATAAATGATTTTTTTGATGGCCTAGAAAAATAAATTTTTGCTCAATAAGGAGGGATAAACTTATGAATAGAATACCCGAATCTTAATAATATTTTGGTCCTATTTAAAAGTTTTTCCATTTTTAAATTTTCTAGTTTTTAGAAATAATTTTCTTTAGAATGAGTGAAAATTTACAAGGTGTTGATGATGATTTGGTTAGTACTTTATGTTCTTGTTCTACTTTTAATTTTGAAGATTCTTTAAATCGTATAAAATTATTGGAGGTAATTAATTAAATAAAATTATTTTTATTTTACTTATTTTTTAGGTTGAAAAAGACAAGACAAATTTGGCTTTTCAATTAATTTTGGCTAAACTTGATTTGGTAGGGGGTTTTTAAATTTAATTAGGGTTATTATGAATTTATGCTCTGTTTCTTAATATCCTAGAGTAATGTGGCCCTATCATCAAAGGACACTTCTAGGTTAAATTCGAAACGGCTAAGGATTGACTGATGTTCTCGAAAATTTTGATAACAGATTTTAGAATAAAATCTCGCCTTGGTTTCTCTCGGTCTCTGGTTTATATTGGGAGTTTAAATATATGTTAATTACATTTTTGGGAAATTTTGATTCGCAAAAATATATTCCCTATGCTCTAAAATATCAGATTTTCCAGAGTATTGATAGAATAATTAATCTTTTTACAGGGACTCTACCATGATCAGACAATAATTAAACAATTACAAGAATTGAATGAGAAAATGGGTGGAAATGTAAAAAATACATAATAATTTTTTTTTAATTTTAATTTAAAAATAATTTTAGGAAGGAATTTTAAATTTACAAAAAATGCAATGTTTTGAAAATAAAGATAAATTGAAAATTGAAGTTGAAAAACAAAAAGAGGAAATTAAAATTTTGAAATCGGATAAATTGGAAAAAGAAGGGCAAATTAAAATTTTGAAAGAAAATTTGGAAGAGAATAAAAATGAATTGGATGATTATAAGAATAAAATGGTTAAATTGGAAGAAGGACATATTTTGGCTTTGGATCAACTTTCTAAAATTAAAGAAGAATTTGGAAAATTAAAAGAGGAAAACGAAAAGATTTTTGAAGAAAAAGTTGAATTATTAAAAGAATTGGAAGAAAATAAATTAAAAATTGGAAAATATGAAGAAGACAAAAAATTGGAATTAATTAATTTGGACAAATTAAAAGAAGAAAATGAGGGGATTTTTAAAGGGAAAAATAAATTATTGAAAGACTTGGAAGAGAGTAAAATTAAAATTATGAAAATTGAAGAAGAAAACAAGAAATTAACCAAAAAATTGAAGGATTCTGAAAATTCAATATTTCCACTTCGACATGAAATTTCGCAAAATAAAAGGAATTATGAGCAAGCAATTAAAGTAAATTTATTTTGTGTCTGTTAAAATGGGTTAAATAATAATTTAATTTTAGCAAATTAAAGATTTGGCAGAAGATCGAGATGGACAAATCAAAACTTTAACTGAACGTAATGCTGCTTATAGTGATGCTAAATATGAAGCGGAGAAAAAAGTTGTTAATTTCTCTTAAATAATTTAATTAATTTAAATATTTAAAGGCTAAAGAACTTTTGATAAAGAATGAACAATTACAAATAGAAAATAAAGATTTTGTTGCAAATATCCAATTAAAAGATGAGAAAATTCGTTCATTTGAAATGCAAGTCAAAGAGGTATACAGTGGCGGAAAATTACTTAGGGAAAAATTTTCTCTTTGAGTTTTTTAGGTTTTACTAAAAAAATTTTCTTTTGACTTTATTTCTTTTTGAGTATTTTTCTAGCCTTATTTAATACCTATTAAATGGTACCAAATATGGCCAGGTACAACTTTTTATTCTGCTAGAAAAATTTATAATAGTTAGCCTATCCAGAAATTGCGCGGAAATTTACTTAGGGAAAAAAATGTAGGTTAATTTTTTATCGGAAAACAATGTAGGAAAAATCTGAAAAAATTCGTGAGATATTCCCTAACAATGTGATGAATAATCGCAAAAAAATCTGATTTTTAACTCATCCCCATCATTGTAATTTTGAGATCCAAAATTAATGGAAAATGGGGTGATTTGGGGGTGATTTGACTTAAAAAAATATTTCGGTCCATCTGGCCCAGATAAAATTTTTCTTTCATGATCAGTTTAAAGCCCATTAAATTTACTACAAAATAGGCTTAATGCCATTTCTTTAAGAAAATCTTTATCGAGATACACGCTGAAACCTTTTAATTTGGGGAAAAATATGTTAAATTAGGCATAAATTTGGCGACTAAAAAAACTTCGGTATTTATCTCGATGAAGAATTTTTTTAAAGAAATGGCGTAAAGCCTATCTTGTAGCAAATTTTATGGGCTTTAAAATAGTCATGAAATAAAAATTTTAAATAGATCAAAATTGCCAAAAATATTTTTTAAATCAGATCACCCCCAAATCACCCCATTTTCCGTTGATTTTGAATCTCGAGATCTCAATGATGGGGGTGAGTTAGAAGTCAGAATTTTTTTCATTCTTCATCAAATTGATAGGGAAGATCCCAGAAATTTTTTCAGATTTTTCCTACATTGGTTTTCCACAAAAAATTAAACTTCATTTTTTTCCCTAAGTAAATTTCCGCGCAGTTTTAAAGTAGGTTATCTATTATAAAATTTTCTGGTCAAATATTATACTTTCTCGGGACAAGTTTATAACCATTTTATAGGTAATTAATAGGGCTACAAAGATACATAAAAATATAGAAGGCTAAAGAAAAAATTTTTTGAGTAAAACTTTAAAAACCATGAAAAAATTTTTTCCCTAAGTAAATTTCCGCCAGTGTATTTATTCTATTAACATGGGAAGGTTGCGAGGTGTCCGAGCTAAAAACGGTCGAGACCGGGCTCATTCATAGAGAATGTGCCCTTTCTAACAAAGATTTTTTGACGTTTTTGCCCGTTTTTTGATCTGACCAAGATATATAGCTAGAAAGGGCACATTCTCTATCGAATGAGCCCGGTCTCGACCGTTTTTAGCTCGGACACCTCGCAACCTTCCCATGTAAGTAATTTAAATTTGTTAAGCTCTAAACGAAAAATTTTGTTTTATTAATTAAATTGGTTTTCGAAACTCCAAAGAAATAGTTTTGAATTTTGTTAATCATTTAAATTTAAAAATTAATAATTCTGTCTTGTTCATTCCCTATTTACTTGTTTTATTTTCTCCGTCCCTCGAGGTGTTTAAAGAATATATAATTATCAAAAATATAAATTTACTTATTTTTAAGTTGAAAGAAATGAACAAAGCTCGCAACAATAAAATTGTTGAATTAACTGCTGAATTGGATAAATTAAATAAAGGAAACAAGCAAATTGTAAATGTTTTTTATTTTTTGAATTAAATATTTAAAAAAATTTTTTTAGTTATACGTGAAGAGTCCAAATAAAATGAGCACAATTAAAAATCAAAATTCTTGTTGTGAAAATAAATGTATTAATTCTAATTTATCTAGCGGTATCTGCAGTAAAGGAAATGGATATGTTAATGTTTATGAAAATGGATTGATAAAATATAACAATGAATTGACAAATGATGTGAGAATTGTAGGAGAAAATAAATGGATTTTTTTATATGGACAGCATCCATACTCAAAAGCATCGGGTTATGACAGTAATTATTCTCTGTTTTATTTTGAAGTGAAAATATTTAAAGAATTAAATTCAGAAATGTAAATTTTTCTAAAAAACAATGTCTCGAACGTTGGCCTGACTCGAAAACCCCAACACTAGTCTTCACCAATGTTCAAGCATCTTCCTGGGCTTTCCTTGCCGAAATCGTGAATTTATTTTTATATCAGCATGACTCTGGGTGTACTCATAATTTATATACGACTTTAATATAAATTAATCCTTTCCTATCTCTAAAAATTTTTAATATAGTAAAAATTTTTTTAGTTCTTATGCTGGTATTGGGTTTGATGTTCCTAATGTAAAAATATTTTTGAGTGATTCTACCCATTATTGGGCAGAATATCAAAGATTTGGATGGGTAGATGGAGATGTTTTTGGGTGTGGAATTGTGTTTCCTCCAAAGAATGATTTGAAAACAAAGGCTTATGTATTTTTTACTAAAAATGGAAATAAAATTGGTGAGGAGAAAATTAAATTTTTGTTTTAAAAAATTTTGGGACTTTTAAAATTTTTCGATTTCACCTCCTCGTTTTCTTATTAACTCCTAAATTTCGTCTTTTAAAACAAAAGAATATCTGAATAATACAAAATTAGCTCAAAATAGGTAATTCACGTAATTGCTTTTCTATCCCTATTTATAGTCATTAAATATCTTTAATTGTCCAGTTTTTCCTTCAAATATTTTTTAATAATTCTTTTTAATTTAAAATAAAAAATTTTTTCTCGAATTCTCTTCAATAATAATTATTTTTTATTTAAATTTCTTTAGGTAAAAATATTTTACTTGAAGAAGATAACATTAATTTTGGCAATCCCGGAGAATTGGGGTCCCTGCGGAAAAAAATCTTAAAAATAAGAAAAAGGATTTTTTTAGGGTAAAAAAATATGCTGATTACGAATCCGAGCTCAGATTTTGAAAAAGTCGAATCCCGAACCCGAATTCGAACTTTTGATCCCGAACAGGATTTTTGACCCCTAACATTATCAGACATTGTACAAAATGGCCAGTCTTTCAATAGAATCATAGAACTCATCGAGCTGTGTCGAATGACACCAAAATCAATGAAATCCGACCGGATTGAACCGAGATACAGACCCCTAAATATTGAAAAACCACATGGGTGATTTTTTGGAGTAAAAAAAAGTTTTTACAAATGATAGCTCATTCGAAAGAGCTCGTCGAGCTGAGACGAATGACACCAAAATTACAGTGATTGATCAAGTTTAGACAAAGTTATGACATAAGTCACCGACTCTTACAGTACTCCCAGAGGTTTACTTTATGTCATAACTTTGTCTAAACTTGTCCAATCACGTTGATTTTGGTGTCATTCGATGCAGCTCGACGAGCTCTTTCGAACGAGCTATCATTTGCATATTCGAAATTCGGGTTCAGGGTTCGAAATTTGGTTCGGGTTCGGGATTCGACTTTTTCAAAATCTGAGCTCGGATTCGTAATTAGCATATTTTTTTATCCTAGAAAATACCTTTTTCTTATTTTTAAACTTTTTTTTCGCAGGGACCCCAATTCTCCGGGATTGCCTTAATTTTTATCCATTTATTGGACTTTTGTCGTGTTCGGTGTTTACAAATTTTGGAAATGATCTTTTGACAAAGCCTTTTGTTTATAATATTGACGATTATATTAAATGAAGAATTGATTTATGAATTTTATTTTTTGATTAATTATTTATTTTTCTTTTCGAGTTGATTAAAAATTACAAAAAAAATTATTTTTATTTAAATATGCACAATTAAAAATAACAATTAAATTTTGTTCCATATTTATTAAATATTTAAATTTATATTTTTTAAATTTTTTTAGTTTTTAAAATTAATTTCCTTCAGAATGAGTGAAAATATACAAAATTCTAATGATGATTTGTCTAGTAATTTATGTTCTACTTCAACTTTTGAAGATTCTTTAAATCGTATAAAATTATTGGAGGTAATTGATTAATTAGAATTATTTTTATTTTATTTATTTTTTAGGTGGAAAAAGACAAAACAAATTTGGCTTTTCAATTAATTTTGGCTAAACTTGATTTGGTAGGGGGTTTTTAAATTAGAAAAAATTATGGTTTTTATTCCTAGAAAAAAGGAGGAAGGGTTTTCGATATTTTGAAGGTTTACCAATAGGTTAATTAAGTGTGCTGAGTCCGAATATGTGTTCTAATTCCGGACACAAAATAATAGAGCTCGAAGAAAGTCAGTTTTCCCGTAAATTTTAATTGTCTTAATTGGATTCGAATTCGGGTCCGGGATTCGAAATAAATAAATTTGAACTCATATTCGGACTCAGCATACTTTACTGACAAAACTCTAAAATGTCGAAAAAATAGTATATCGCATTTGTTCCTACATTTTTTTCTAGGGAAATGAAAAATGTTAAGAAAGGGGAACACAAACTGAAGTTTTATCAAATTGGTTTTATTAAATTTCTTTTTCACGTTATAATATTTCTAAATTAAATACTAGATTTTCCACAGTCTTTAGAGAAATAATTAATCTCTTGAATATAACAATTAAATTAATTTTTATTTTAGTTAACTAACTCAACAAAACAAAATTCCTCTACAGACTACCCAACAATGGAAAATCAAACATTAATTAAACAATTACAAAATTATTTGCAAAAAGAAGTTGAACAACAAAAAGAAAAAATTAAAAGTTTGGAATTGGATAAATTTAAAAAAGAAGAGGAAATTAAAATTTTGAAGGAAAATTTGGAAGAAAATAAAAATGTTTATGAAAATAAATTGTTAAAATTGGAAGAAGAACGTGTTTTGGCTTTGGATGAATTTTTAAAAATTAAAGAAGAATTTGAAAAATTAAAAAATGAGAAGGAAAAAATTTCTAAAGAAAAAATTGGATTTTTAATAACTGAAAGATTGGAAAAGAATAATTTAACACTTTTATCTGAAGAAGATTACAAAAAATTAACCAGCACATTGAAGACATGTGAAGAAATTATTTCTCAACTTCAACGGGAAATTTCAGAAAATAAGAAGAATTATGAACAAGAAATTAAGGTAAATTTTTTTTGTAAGACAATTGCTGATATAAAATTTAAAAATTGAAAGATTTATTAAAGTTTTCAGCACCGCATTTATCTAGAATCATTCGGGAACCATAAGCCGGCACTATAAAACAAACTCTCAACTCAATAATTTTTTTTAAATTTTATACCCGCAATTGCATATTTGTAATTGTCATAACATATTTACTCTTATAGATTGTTAAAACCGTTAATACTTTTCAGTACGCTTTTAAAATTTGCTTTTGAGTTAAAGTTTGGGATTCAGTTTCGTTACATTTTTGAGTTTGGAACCTATCGCCAAGGTCCCAAATTTTGGGACCTATCGAGCAAATTTCAAAACTATTTCCTGAAAATGCGCTGACATATATTTTTGGTATCCCTCAATCGAATAGGTTAAAATTAAATTAAAATGTTATAATTTTAGCAGCAGGCAGAACAAATCAAAACTTTAACTGAAAGTAATGTTGCTTTTAACAAGGCTGAATATGAAGCTGAGAAAAAAGTTGTTTAATTTGTCTTAAATAATTTAATAATTTAAATATTTAAAGGCAAAAGAATTTTTGACAAAAAATGAACAGTTACAAATAGAAAATAAAGATTATGTTACAAAAATTAAATTAAAAGATGAGAAAATTCGTTCATATGAAATTAAAATCAAAGAGGTATTTTTAATGAATAATTAAAATTTAAAAAATTAATTAAAAATAAAACCTTTTAAAATAAAAAAGATTTTTGCCGCTACCAATGGTTAAAAGCTCGTACCAAAATTCGTACTCGTACCTGTGTACGAAGCAGGGTTGCCGCGGGTACAAAAAATCTTCGGGTACGGGTTTCGGGTATCGGGTTGGAGCGTTTTCATTTCGGGTATCGGGTTTCGGGTTGGAAAAAATATCGGGTACGGGTTTCGGGTTTCGGGTTGGAAAATTTTCATTTCGGGTCACGGGTTTCGGGTTGGCAAAAATTTCGGGTACGGGTTTCGGGTTTGGCGAAAAATTCGGGTTATTTTCGGGTGTTCGGGTATTGTTGAACTAAATTGTAAGGCGACAAGCTGTGTTGCTTACTAGGATATAGGGTGATATAGAGAGAGGCAAATTTGAAGAGATTAAAGAGACATTGTGGGATTTGGGGATTTAGAGGGATATCTTCGTAAAATCCGAATTTATTGGTAAAATCCCACTATATACTAAATCCCTCCGCTTTATCTTCATTAAAGCATCTAATTTTCTCCCATTTTCAGCGCCGCAGGCGAAAATTTTGAGAAGTTTGGAAAACCAAGAAGCCAAACTTCTTTCATTTTTTGCGCCGCAGGCGAAAATTGTGAAAATTTTAGAAGGCCTTAGGAGAAAAATTCAATTATCAGAACCGCAGGCAAAAAATTTTTATTGAAGTTTAGTTGATCATGAAGCCGGAACTATTAATTTTATGCGCCGCAGGCGAAAATTTTGCAAAATTCATGACTAAATTACAATTTTTTATGGTTTTTCAAGATTAAAATATTAAAAAAAATTAAAAATCTAAATTAAAAATCAAGTTTAAAAACATTTATTCTTGAAAAAAACTTATTCAAGTCTCATTTCCAACCCTAGAATCGAACTCACTCCTTTGAAAATATTGAGCCAGTCGCCTTACCCACTCAACCACCGCCCAACATAATAAAAATAGAAGAAATTATAAATAAATATCTCTTTCTAATTTTTTAAATTTATTTTAAAAAATCGGGTAAGGCTAAGTTTTCGGGTAGAAATTTCGGGTTTTAACCAATCTCGGGTCACGGGTTTCGGGTTGGAAAAAATATCGGGTACGGGTTTCGGGTTTCGGGTTGGAAAATTTTCAATTCGGGTATCGGGTTTCGGGTACAAAAAAAGGCCGGGTTTCGGGTTTCGGGTATCGGGTTTCGGGTTTCGGGCGGCAACCCTGGTACGAAGTACGAGTACGAGCAAATTTCAAAATTGCAACCACTGGACACTACCACAAAAAAATTTTTTGTGGGTTTTCTCTCGGGTAATCACTCTAATATTTTATTTAAGGATTATAGAATATACATTTAATTTAATATTTTAAGTTTGAAAAAACAGTCACCTCCCTCAATATTAGAATTGGCAAATTAACATCAGAATTGGATAAATTAAATAAAGTAAATGTCAAACAACGTGTTGTTTTTATGAGTAGATCAAATCAAATAAATTCAATACAAACCTTTTCTTGTTGTGAAAATAAATGTATTAATTCTAATATATCCGGTGGAGTTTGCAAAAATGGAAATGGATATGTTAATGTTTTTGGGGATTCGACACGTTACCCAAATGAAGTTAAATATGGGCTGATTAAATATAACAATAAATTGTCTGATGGAAAAAGTAATAACTGGATTTATTTATATGCCCAACATCCATATACAAAAGCAGCGAGTTATGGCAGTGATTATACTTTATTTTATTTTGAAGTGAAAATATTTAAAGAATTAAATTCAGAAATGTAATTAAATAAAGAATTTATTTTAACTGGCTAATTTCTTTAGCCTTTAAGCGATATATCGCAATAAGTATCAAAAAAATGACTTAAAATATCTGTTAAATTAATTGAAGATTATAGGTCTTGACTTGGTTCAACCATTTTTAAGTTTCAATTGAATAAGACTAACCGTCCCTCTTATCTTACATATATAATTTTAATAAAAATATTTTTTTACAGTTGTTATGCGGGTATTGGCTTTGATGTTCTCGATGCAAAAATATTTTTATGTAATTATTCGAATACTTGGGGAAATCTTCAAAAATTTGAATGGGTAGATGGAGATGTTTTTGGTTTTGGCATTGTTTTTCCTCCAAAGAATGATTTGAAAGCAAAGGCTTATGTATTTTTTACGAAAAATGGAAAGAAAATTGGTAAGGAGAAAATTAAATTTCTGTTTTGAATAAGGACTTTGGATTCCTTCGGGCTTACCTTTTCATTCCCATCATTCAATGAGTCTCTTAAAAATGAAAAAGACTTGCTGCATTCTACAATGAAAAACTACAAAATTCCCAGCCTAGATTGATCATTTTCATAAGCTGCCCTTCCTTCAAATATTTTGGCTCTACTTTAGTACTTGAATCACTTGAACATTTATGCTTCCTATGAATATTTATGAGTCACATCATATAGGCGTCTCATCAAAAATATCGTCACAAAAATCATTAGTGCTTAACTTTTATAAATCTTTCAAATGACAATTAAATGCATTATGAGTAATTCGCAAACGAGACATGGAAGGGACATGGGAGGGACGTTGACTCCACGCATGGAAAGGACGTGGAGTCAAAGATCCACGATGCGTGACATCGTGGATCTTTGACTTGTGGGACGTATAAAGTTCATGGGATGTAAAAAGGACTCATGGAACGCATGTCCTAAAGTAGAGCCAATATTTTTAATTTTTTTTTTTAATTTTTAGGTAACAATATTTTACTTAAAAATGATAATGTTAATTTATATCCATTTATTGGACTTTTGTCTTGTTCGGTGGAAACTAATTTTGGAAATGATCTCGAATCAAATCCTTTTATTTATAATGTTACCAATCATTCTATTTGAGGAGAATTGATTTAGGATTTTTTTTGTTTGACTATTTGTTTTAAAATTAAAAAAAAATATTTTTTTGTTTAAATTAATAAATATTTCTAATTAAAAACAACAAAAATTAAATGTTAGTCAATATCTAATATTAAATATTTGAATTTGAAATTCTTTAATTTTTTCAGTTTTTAAAATTAGTTTTCTTTAGAATGAGTGAAAATTTACAGGGTGTTAATGATGATTTGGCAAGTACTTTATGTTCTTGTTCTACTTCAACTTTTGAAGATTCTTTAAATCGTATAAAATTATTGGAGGTAATTAATTAATTAAAATTATTATTATTTTATTTATTTTTTAGGTTGAAAAAGACAAAACAAATTTGGCTTTTCAATTAATCCTGGCTAAACTTGATTTGGTAGGGGGTTTTTAAATCAACGGAAAGATTATTTGACAAAGAGTAATCTCACCTTCAACTAATTTTTAATTCTCTCTAATAAATTTGTTTTTGAGATATTTCAAGACCATATAATTAAAAATAACAATTTCCCTTTATTCTTTGATTTGCCTATAATTGACCCCTATCATCAAAAGACACTGGGTGGTTTAAATTAAAAACCGAACTTGAGGGTCGATTGATAACTAAAATCTAGCTATTCTAGATTTTAGAAATCTCTCGCTGGTCCTATCTCTATATTATATTGAGAGTTAAATACTTTTTTGGGATTTTTCATTCTCTAAATTATATAACTTTTCCACAACCTTCAAAGAAATAATTAATCTTCTTCGTCTAACAATTAAATCAATTTTCATTTAAATAGTTAACAGTTAACTCGACCAAACAGAATGTCTCTTCAAATTATCCAACATTTGAAAATCATACATTAATTAAACAATTACAAGAATTGAATGAGAAAATGAGTGGAAATGTAAAAAATAATAATTTTTTAAATTTAAAAAATAATTTTAGGAAACAATTTTAAATAATTTACAAAAAATGCAATTAGAATGTTCTGAAAATAAAAATAAATTGAAAATTGAAGTTGAAAAACAAGAAGAGGAAATTAAAATTTTGAAAGAAAATTTGGAAGAAAAGAAAAATGAATTGAATGAATATAAGAATAAAATGTTAAAATTGGAAGAAGAACGTGTTTTGGCTTTTGATCAACTGTCTAAAATTAAAGAAAATTTTGAAAAATCAAAAGAAGAAAATGAAAAGATTTTTAAAGAAAAATTGGGATTATTAAAAGAATTGGAAGAAAATAAATTAAAAATTGAAAAATATGAAGAAGATAAAAAATTGGTATTAATTAATTTGGCTAAATTGAAAAATCAGAACGAAGAGATTTCTAAGGAAAAAACTCAGTTATTAAAGGAATTTAAAGAATATAAAATTAAAATGACTAAAATTGAAGAAGTAAATAAATCGAATTTAACTAAAACGGAAGAAGATAACAAAAAATTAACCAAAAAATCAGAAATTTCTGAAAATATTATTTGTCAACTTCGACAAGAAATTTCACAAAATAAGAAGAATTATAAACAAGAAATTAAGGCAAATTTATTTTATTTTGAGAAAAGAATTATTTTAATTATTAATTTTAGCAAGTTAAAGATTTGGCAGAAAATCGAGCTAAACAAATTAAAACTTTAACTGAACGTAATGATGCTTTTAATAAGAATGAATACGAAGCAGAGAAAAAAGTAGCAGTTTTTCCTAATTAATTTAATTAATTTAAATATTTAAAGGCTAAAGAACTTTTAACAAAAATTGAACAATTACAAATAGAAAATAAAGATTTTGTTGCAAAAATTAAATTAAAAGATGAGAAAATTCGGACATTTGAAAAGGAAGTTGAAACGGTATTTTTAGTGAATAATTTTAATTAAAAAGTCTTGTATCATAAATTGTGTCATAACCAGACCTGGTCATGGATACGGATAATATCCGGATATCCGCGGATATATCCGGATACGGACGGATATGGATAATGTCAGTAATTGAAATCGAAAAAAAAAATTTCAGAGCTTGAATTGCCCTCTAACAATTTCTGGGAGAAACTTGTACGGGGAGTTATCCTCCTTTAATGTTTATCTCTCCCATTTGTTGTTTTACCCTCACTGTCCTTTATATGTATAATTAATTTAATTGTTTTTAAGTGGAAAAATTTTAATGATTCTGTTAAAAAAGAATTGGATAAATTAGATAAAGAAAATGATAAATATATTGTAAGGGGTTTTTTATAATTATTTTTTTAATTATTTTTTTCAGTTTTACGTCAAAAGACCAAATAAAATATGCACAATTGAAAATGATTCTTGTTGCGAAAAAAAGTGTATCAATTCTAATTTATTTGATGGTTATTGCTTTAAAGGGAATGGATATGTTAATGTTTACGAAGATTATTGCAAAGGGTGGATAGATTATAAAAATAAAGAGTTGGATGGGTTTGGAGTTGTTAGGGATAATAAATGGATTTGTTTATATGGACAGCATCCATATACAAAAGCTGGAAGTTATGGGAATGATTATTCTTTATTTTATTTTGAAGTGAAAATATCTAAAGGATTTAATTCAAAAATGTAATTATATTTAAATAAAAATTAATTTTAAGTAATTTTAAGTAGGCGTAGATGTAATTGGCCTGGTCCTGGGGAAGGCCCTGTGTCCAAGCATGTTTATTAGAGTCCATGTCAATGTTAGTAAAATTGGGCTTTACTAAGGGTTTTATTCGAGATTGGGGGTTGCGGACATTTCGTCTAACATTTTTATTTTATTTTTGTGTTAGCTTTTGACTTTAAGATTGTATGTATTTCACGCCTAATTTAAAGTTCCAATTTTACCATTAATTAACCCGCTTTTATTTTTAATTTAAAAAATCTATAAATAATTTTTTAGTTGTTATGCTGGTATTGGTCTTGATGTTCCGAATGCAAAAATATTTTTGTGTAATTATTCAAATACTTGGGGAAATTATCAAAAATTTGGATGGGTAGATGGAGATGTTTTTGGTTGTGGAATTGTTTTTCCTCCAAAGAATGATTTGATTAAAAAGGCTTATGTATTTTTTACTAAAAATGGAGATAAAATTGGTGAGGAGAAAATTTAATTTTTGTTCAAAAAAAAAACAAAACATTTTTTTAATTCCAAATCAAAAAAATTTTTTTCTGACTCCTATTCCAATTTTTCAAATTTAAGGTAATAAAATCTTTCTTGAAGAAGATAACATTAACTTATATCCATTTATTGGACTTTTGTCTTGTTCGGTGGAAACTAATTTTGGGAATGATCTCGAATCGAATCCTTTTATTTACAATCTTAACAATTATATTATTTGAAGAGAATTTATTTTGAATTGAATTTTTTGATTGATATTTATTTTTCTTTTTGATTTGGCCAAAAAATTTATTTAAATTTATAAATTATTAAAAAATATCAAGAATTAAATTTATTTTAATATTTATATTAAATATTTGGATATACAATTTTTAAATTTTTTAGTTTTTATTAATTAGTAAAATGAGTGAAAATCAACAAAATTCCAATAATGATTTATCTACCTCTCTATGTTCTTGTTCTACTACCAATTTAATTGGTGAAGATTCTTTAAATCGTATAAAATTATTGGAGGTAATTAATTAAGATTACTTATATCGTTTTAATCCGCCCCATTTTCTCTTTTCCCTAAATATTTTATGAGGAAAAGAGAAGAAAATTTATAAGCTCTTAGAGAATTTATAAGCTCCTACGTTGATTTAAGTCAGATCTCGTTGGTTTTAGTGCCATACGACTCAGCTCGAAGAGCTCTTTCAAACGATTATAATTTGCCGTGAAAAGAAAACAGATGCCGCAAAGGGAAACAAGAGAAAATAGGGGGAATAATCCGAACTACATACATATGTATTACCATTTATTTTACATATTTATTTTGTAGGTTGAAAAAGACAAAACAAATTTGGCTTTTCAATTAATTTTGGCTAAACTTGATTTGGTAGGGAGTTTTAAATTAGGGGAGGTTATGATGACTATTATTATTAGGGATCGGATTTTTAGGTCGTAAAAACGATAAAATAGGCACCTAAATTTTATTACATATTTATTTTTTTGGTTGAAAAGGACAAAATTATTTTATTTTCAAAAAAAAATTTATTTATAAATATCATTTTAAATTTTTTATAAAAAATTTAAAAAATAATTTCAGCAAAAACACATAAATAGGTTGCATAAAATGCTAAAATAGGTGACAAAAATAGGCAAATAGATCGTAAAAATAGAGATAGTTAAAATCCGATCCCTAATTATTATAAAAGTAAAATACGGATTATAGGCCAATTTTTATCTAATCTTATCATTATTTTAATTAGATTTTTTGAATAATTAAAATTATTTTATTTTCAAAAAAAATAAATTTCGATATCATTTTTAATTTTAAATAAAAAAATTTAAAAAATAATTATAGCAAAAACAACATGAAGAAAAAATAAAATATTTAGAATCGGATAAATTGAAAAAAGAAGAGGAAATTAAAATTTTGAAGGAAAATTTGGAAGAGAATAAAAATGATTATGAAAATAAAATATTAAAACTGGGGGAAGCTTTGAATGAATTTTTTAAAATTAAAGAAGAATTTGAAAAATTAAAAGAGGAGAATGAAAAGATTTTTGAGGGAAAAATTGAATTATTAAAAGAATTTGAAAAATATAAAATTAAAATGACAAAAATGGAAGAAGAAAATAAGAAATTAACCAAAAAATTGAAGGATTCTGAAAATATTATTTCTCAACTCCGAAAAGAAAATTTAAAGAATAAGGAGATACATGAAGAAGAAGAAGAAGATGAAGAAGAAGAAGTAAATTTTTAATGTTTTAAAAATTTTTAATGAGCAGTTAGATAATATTTATTTTAGGAAATTGAAGATTTGGCGGAAGATCGAGATGAACAAAAATTTATTCGATTAAACAAAAATGTCAAACATATTGTAAGAATTTTAACGTTGTAAATTAAAATTTTTGGTACTTTTCCGGAGGCTTCCCCCGCTTCCCCGACCATTATGAGCTCTTTCGAATGATATATGTATAATTTGCCATAAATGAGAAAAAAATACAAAAAAATTGAAAGAAAAAATGGGGCCGACTTCCAAACTATTATTCTCCCGTTATGAGGCCATGCAGTTAAAATGTCACAAATATTGACAAAAATATTGACAAATTATGCATTCAAAAGAGCTCGTCGATCTGAGTCAAATGACATTTAATTATGTGGGCTT